AAGTTCGGCCGCACATGGAATACTGTTCCCATCTCTGGGCTGGGGCTCCCCAGTACCAGCTCCTTCCACTTGACCGCATCCAGCGCAGAGCGGCTCGAATCGTCGACGACCGAGTGCATTCCGATCGGCTCGAGTCACTGGCACTGCGAAGAGATGTTGATGATGTTGCATCTCTTTGCGTTTTTTTTTCGTATATACCATGGAGAGTGCTCTGAGGAATCGTTCGCACTACGCGGCAAACGTCCGAATACCATCCACAACATCTGGATGCTTGGCGGTCCACCACTGTACGTTTCAAAAGGAGTTTTCTTCCGCATTCAACCTCCCTGTGGAATAGTTTACCACCGGCGATTTTTCCGGACCGATACGACCTGGGGACCTGCAAGAAAAGAGCTTACTCCTTTAGGCCGGCAACGCACCTGCAATTCCCCTGGTGTTGCGGTTGATCATGGGCGGCGGTAGTCACTTAACATCAGGTGAGCCGAATGCTCGTTTGCCCCCTCTTCAATAAAAAAGACGTGTGGCACTCGGGGACTGCCGCGGTAAAGCTATTGCATAGCATTTTGTATCAACTTATGCAATTATAATTATTTTTTATTTATTTTATTTATGCAGTATTTCTTTTTCTTTGATATTAATTCAAGTTACACTTTTTGAACGTGGTGACCGATAAGAAAACAAATTTATTTTTTTTATTAAATAAATAAAAAGTTAATATTGTTTAAAACATTTTTATTATTTTACATTACATGTGGGTTTTATTATCTTACAGTAGCTGTTGGTTATTCAGGAATATTAATCAACACCGTGTCGAAGACTGCCGAAAAGAAACGACGTTAGACAATGCACGGCCTTCAAGCCACACCACCGTGCACGTCGAAGTGGGGAGCGTGAGACTTATTTTGTTACGGAATTTCTGACGGTCCCCGCGACTCAAGATACTGCTCGCGATAGAAGCTATGCAATAGCTTAAAAAAAGAGACGGTTGGATAACTTAGTCCAACCAAAACTTAATGGTAAAGAAGTACCATTTTCCACGGAAGTTAAGTACTTAGGCGTAACAATCGACCAAAAACTAACGTGGAACTCTCACCTTCGCAACGTATGCCATAAGGTAAAAATTGCTTTACGTACGTGCAATCGTTTGGTCGGGAACAACTGGGGCTTGCGACCCAGTATGGTCCTATGGCTGTACAGCAGCGTAGTAAGGCCGATTCTCACCTACGCCTCTATTGTCTGGTGTAACAAGCCCAACCAAAAGATGACTGCGGATAGACCAAATGGTCTGCAACAGACTGCCTGCTTAATGGCAACTGGAGCTATGCGATCAACGCCTGGAGCGGCTCTTAATACACTTCTATGCCTAACGCCCCTTGATCTCTATCTAGACAAGGAGGCGAGGGCTAGTTTGTATAGGATTAACGCCCAGGGCGGCCTCAGCTTGCTCTCCTACAGATTGAGATCCATGCTCGACTCAGTTAAGGAATCACCGTCTCAGATATCATCTCAGATATCATGCGTCCACTACACACTTTTGATAAAAGTATATAGTGGTATTACCCTCGAGAGAAGACTGGCTGAATGGCCAGGTTATCTGTGAGGTCGGTAGCCTCATATGGTATACCGATGGGTCTAAAATGGGCCTCGACGTAGGCTTTGGAATTTATGGGGAACGTCCCAAATTCAAACTTGGCATACATTTGGGTAGATACACCTCTATCTTCCAGGCAGAAATTTTCGACATACTTCGGTGTGCGGAAATCAATCTGCAAAAACACTACGTCAACCATATAATTTACATAAACTCTGATAGTCAAGCAGCACTGCTAGCGCTGAGGTCAAACTTAGTGAACTCGAAGCTAGTTAGAGACTGCATGAACCGTTTAAACGCCCTGGGATGTAACAATAGGGTCGTTTTAAGATGGGTTCCGGGTCACGAGCGTATTGTAGGCAACGAATTTACCGATAAACTTGCACAGGAGGGCTCAACACAATTTGGACCTGAGCCATTTTGTGGAATCTCAAGAAGCCTAGCCCGATTGACCCTTGAAACTCTTTATCACAATAAATCACTTAAGATCTGGTCTGACACACCAGGCTTAAAACATTCTAAAACCTTAATCCGGGCTTTTGATCGTAAATTCGCTTCAAAAGGCCTAGGATTAAGTAAAAATAAATTGCGCATTCTGGCAAGAGCCCTTACTGGACACTGTTGTCCTTAAAAAGCACATTTCTATCCTGGGACTAAGCAACTCAAGGATGTGTCGGTTCTATTCCATAACGGAAGAAACGCCTCTACACATCCTAACTGATTGCGGACCCTTAATGCGGAAGCGTAACACTCGTCTGGGAAACTATGTACTCCCCCCAGATGAAGTGAAATTGCTCACGGCTAAGCAACTCCTTCTATTCATTGAAGACATAGGGCTTAGCCGTGAACTATAGCCATAGCAGTGATCACAATAGATCTTCTAGGTCGCAGTGATACTGGTCTCTTTCCCTAGACCTGCATAGCTGCTCGTACTTAATAAAAAAAATAATAAAAATACCTTTTAGGTTTCGCCCGCGACTTCGTCTGCATATTTGTCATAAATAATATTTTTACTTCTACAACTCAACATTGAATGTCATCATTTTAAGAAGTTACTATCTGAGCTTTATTTCGCGTGGAGATTAATTTTCGTATGGCATATAACATACTGTTAGGTAGGTTGCTTTTTCACTAACTCATCAACCAAGTGCTTTGACTTTGGAAGATCAAAAATTACAACTTGCCGAAATACTTACGTGTGATTTAATGTCAGAAATAGCTGATTTTAGGGCTCAATTTGAAGTTGCCTACATTGTTATGATGTTAAACATTATTATTAAACATTTACTAGAAGTAATTTAATTTATAGTAAAATTAATCTTTAAACAACTTGTATGATATGTCATGTTTCGCAGGCGCATTGATGATAAAAGTGCTAGACGTGAACACATTTGACGCCACTTTTCTGTTGTCGATTTGGATATTTTATGTTACTTTACATAAACGAGATGATTATACCGCCGACTCAATGGGTGCGTTTGGCAGAAAAAAGCGCTAACAAGCGCTTGTAAGCAAAATGGCGATCGTAAGCGGTAAGCGCTGTCAAGTCGTAAGTAGCTATTTCCCTCTAGGACATGAAGTTATTTTTAACCGGGGAACCTAACCTAATTTAAATATATGTTTGTAAATATTCATATTAAAAACTTACCAATCATGAATTTTTAATAACATGTATATGTCTATTCATGTCATTATATTACTTAAAACTAATATTGCACAAAACAACTTACAAACTCTACTTCAAAACAAACAAATTTAAATAAGCAAAATGGCGGATTGTGTCAGCGCTACTGAAGTTAGCAAACGTGTCCTGTCCGAAAACTGTTTAGTTTCGCCATTTTGCTTACAAGCGCTTGCTAGCGCTTTTTTCTGCCAAACGCACCCAATGGAACTCGGAAGATATTTTTGACATTTCAACTCATATGATACCCACAGGACATAATGAGGTGATAGATTGTATTTATTAATACATATTTTTTAAAAGACTATGTACATAACGAACACTACATATTGATTATAACTACTTTTACTAAGTTTAACCTTGGGGTAACAGGTGCAGTAAGGAGGCCAGATGTAAGGCAATCTATTGTGGAAGGAAGAGTTTTACAAGCAAGTAGATGGTGTTGCGATAGGCTCATCTGTATATCTGTATATTCATGGAAGACTTTGAAGAGAAAGCCCTCCTTACTGCACCTGTTACCCCAAGGTTCTACAAGCGGTACGTAGACGATACTATTTCACAATTTTACCATCAGACAAAGTAACTGCATTTTTAGAACATCTTAATTCCATAAACCCTAAAATTCAATTTACTATGGAGTTAGAGGCAAATAATTCCTTAGCTTTCCTAGATGTGTTAGTCATCCGAAATCCTAACAACACCATAGGTCATACTGTGTATAGAAAAAAGGCCCATACAAACCGATACTTAAATGGTGAATCTCACCATCATCCTTCACAGTTAGCTACCGTGGGCAAATCTTTGTTTCAGAGAGCATGAGGGACTTTGTGACAGCAAACACTTGGCCGCCGAGTTTCAGCACGTCAAGCAGGTTCTGCACGACAACAAGCTTCGGGTCCCGCGCCTCCGTCACAGTGACCGAGTGAAGCCGGCCACAGTCGAGCGTGTGCCTGCTATACTATCATATGTCAGAGGTGTCACAGACAAGATTGGCTACATCTTGAAGCGAGCTTCTATTAGAACATTCTACAAGTCGCCGAAGATTGGTCAGTGCTGACCATCTGTCAAGTTTCATGTTCCTCTACAAGATGCAGGAGTGTACAAGCTTGATTGTGATTGTGGTTTCTAATATATAGGGCAAACAAAGAGATCAATTAGAACCCGCGTAAAAGAACACATAGCTGACGTGAAGCATCAACGTTCCGGGAAGTCTGCAGTTTTCGATCATATTCTAGATGGCCCCAACCAACAAATTACATCAGATTTGATAGACCACAAATCCTCGCGAAAGAACATCGATTCCTACCAAGGATGATACGTGAGGCTATTGAAATTAAAAAAAACATCCTAATTTCAATAGAGAAGGAGGCTGGGTACTACCACCTGCTTGGGATCCTATAATTAATAAAATTAAAACTAAACCCAAGCATACCACTGCAAGACTTCAAAATACAGTTAGTTCATTCTGCGTAGATCGGACCAAAAACAATAATTAAAAAGCTGAAGGTACTCCGGGTTAACTTTGACATCGGAACGTCAGTCACCTCAGTCCCCCGTGACCGTGGGTGCTGGAAAGCACCCGAAACGTCGGGTATTAAAATTAATATAAATAAAACGCGATAAAATCCGTAAAAGTAGTTTTAATCAATGTATAGTGTTCGCGTAAATATAAGAAATCATTATGATAAAAATGTTTAAAAAATTGAAAATATAATTAAAATGACTTACCTAAGCCAGATATATCTACGATAGCAATGTATGATTTAGTCTGAACAGAATTGCTTATTTCACACTTATAATCTCCTGTAGTGTCTAAGGTCATGTTTTTAATTAAAATCATATTTTCTTCAAAAATTATTTCATCATTATCAGAATCTATAAGTGAGTCATTGTGATACCATTTTATTGAAGCCTCGGGGTATGCATCTACTTCGCAGAAAAGTTTTCCCTCTTCTCCAAATTCAAATGTTGCGTCTGAAAATCAAAAAGTAAAATATTTTTTAAATTCTTGTATTGTGTTTAAGAGTAAAACACGAAATTGGAAGAATATTAAATGTACAACATACTTTACACTTTCAAGCAATCCTAAGCTAGGAATGAGTTTTTTTTATAAAACTGAAGTAACTTTCGGACTCCCAGCCCACCTTAGGTATGTGGCTACAGCAGCTCATAGACATGTGCAGTCAACTTCAAACAACAAAGGCCACATGTGCGTTGTCTCTCTAAGAACTAAAATCGAATACCTCTCAGGATGTAATTTTACTGGCTCTTTATACTTTTCACATCAATAGGGTTTTGTACCTACGGTTTGGGGATCTGGGTCTCTTAAAGTTACTACTACGTATCATATTTTAATACAACTTGATTTCTTTTATATATTACCGACACATAATATTATAGATGGAGTGCCACAAGGTTGTGTGTTGTCTCCTTTACTCTTTGCTAGCTTCATTAATTCGATCTCCCAAAAAATTTCTTCTCTCTATCCCATGTATGCAGACTATGTCTGCTATCAATGCTGACCTGGGGGGTATTAGCGAATGAAAGAAATGGCATGGGCTTGAGGTTAATTATTGAAATATCAGGCGCTTACGCTCTTTACTTTCTACTAACATTATGTTAGTACAATTATTACTCCTCTCAATTCTCGATTATGCAGGCGCAAACTATCTAGATTTAACTGAAGATCAACTAAACAAACTTGAGCGTATTCAAAAATCTTTCTATTAGGTTCATATTTGGTTTGCGTAAATATGACCATGTCTCCGAATTTTGCTTAAAACTTAAGTCTCAAGTGGTTACCGAATTGTCTTCGCCGGAATCTACAAATTGTTTCCCTTCTGTCATGCATATTTTCGTCATTCAGCAATCAGTATTTTCGTCATTCAGCAATCAGTATTTTCGTCATTCAGCAATCAGTATTTTCGTCATTCAGCAATCAGATGACTCCTATCTATCTGAAGGAAAACTTTGAATTTCTTGGTCATGACAGGCCGGAGAGAACTCTACGGTCAGCCGGAGAACTAATACTCGTGCCACATTATTATCAAGCTTTAAGAATTCCTTTACAGTCAAGGCCATCTGCTTATGGAATGATCTTCGTGCGCAAATTCGTCGTGTGAAAACACTAGATAAGTTTAAGACTTGCGTTAAAAATCACTACCTAACACTGCATAATGGTCATGGTCATCATTTTTATTTATCTCAATTTCTATATATAAATATATATATATATATATATATTTGCTTATTTAATCTTATGTATGTCTATCTTATTTTCTTAATAATGTATTACACTATTGGTTATTATGTATCGGCTTATTTTACTTAGGTATGTAAGTTTACTATAATATAAACCACCTCCCACTGTCTAATAGAACATTTTCTCATTATCATAAGGTTGTCTGATCACGTTTTAGCGATAACACTGCCTTAAGGTGTTTAATTTGGTGTTTTTTTTTGTTTCACATGTTTTTTAAGTTTTATAGATTACTAAAATTTTGGTATATAATTTTTGACTATGTGACCTTGGATCGCATAAAAGGAAAACACGATATCATGTAATTTTCTCGATAGGAAAAAATTGCAAATCAGGCTCACGAATAAATTCATGAAATTATTTTTGAGGCATAGTAAATAATTATATTTAAGTTCTCATAACCCGTGTTTTTAACAAATAATGAAGTTTTGTTAAAAAAAATAAAAATGTTGTTTGGCGCTTACTTAGTTTTTTTTTTCTGAGCATGTACTCGGAATAGTTCACATAATTTACGTATTATAAAGTCATTGCATCACTTTCATTTTGACACGCCCTCAGTCATCCGTTAGTTTCACCGACAAAGGAATAAGCCACATCCCCAATACTACGATTTATTTTCAAGGTATCCCCTTTATCCATCTACCTCTTAAATTTTACCATAGTAATAACAGAATAGTAGGCTTTCGTCTAAGAAATGTACCGAACGCCGCTAATATATGTGTGCGTGCCTGGCACGTGACAGTACGAACTCGTACGCACGAACCACAGCACGCACACAACGACACATGCTCAGTCGAAAAGATCGGGCTGAGTCGGGACGGCCACCGCTGCGCTCCGCAATCACCTTTGTTTGAGACTTTGTTAACTTTTAATAAAAATTTTATTTTCTCTTTTTGTGAAATAAATTATTATATGCGTTTGTTTGAGTAAATCAGCTTTTTATTAACAGGTTATATTACTATATATGTACCTCATAAGTACATTAATTATCATATCACATCAGATCAAATTAATTTCAAATTTTAAATCTGAGGTGACACCATGTTCAGTGTTAATTTATTCGTATTTTAGTTATTTGGCATTCGTTGTCGTGTAAAGCTGTTTTTTTTTGACAAATATTGATTCTTTGAGAGGAAACTGAAGAAATTAGTAACAAACATGACGCATAGGTATTATGTTTGTAAATATTAAGACTACTTATGAAACTAAATGAGACTTAGCTGTTAAACAAAAGTACATTGACAACCCTGCAATAGTAAGCATTTAAATCTCACGCGTTGCGGGAGAAATCCCACTATTCTATGTTTTTACTATGGTTTTACTCCCTGTAATCTGTTTTTGAAATTTTGTGGTGTTCAAAAAAGTAAATAATAATAATAATAATGATTATATTCCTCTTTTACCATGTCTGTTGAGCAGTAAAAAGACTGAAGGAAGGAATTAAGAAGACATATCCGTTTAGCAACAGGGACCCGAGTCGAAAGCTTAAAAGTCTGATACTGCATTTATCAATCCAATTGATTAACATGACGATAAGTCACGTTTTTCCCTTGGTGTGAGGAACACATGAATGTATATGACTGATGGTGATATGTATGATAAAAATCTACTTACCTTGAGGATATTCCTTTACTTCGAAAGTAAAAGTTCTGTTGACATAAAGATCCATTGACAAGGTGTCTTCACCTTCCGAATTTTCACATTTACAAGAAATGGTTCCATTCTTAGTCACATTCTCTATAGTAGCATAGCTTATAAAAACTGATGGATATTCGAGGAGAGCATCCTGCCATAAAACAAATATTAAATATTGTCACGGTAAAAATGAGAATATAAATTTTTTATTTATCACTGTTATTGATAGAATCAGGCGTTACTTTGCGGAAATCCATTATAATAAAAATAGAGCCTCTACATTACCTGAGGATGCCTCGTGTAGAGGCGAAACACGTGCCATGTTATCGTCGATGGTGTGTCTTACCTGGAATATGGTGTTGGGAGTAGTGGTGCTGGGACCAGTGGTGACGGAGTTAGTGCATGCAATTGAGGGAGGGCGGGAGGTGCTCTTCAATCCAGGTAAGACACATCATTGTATTTATTCAGCGGAAGGTTGCGAACAAATTTATATTTTTATTTTTTTATTTATCACTGTCATCAAATTTCAAAGAAGTAATTGATATAAGTCTAGTAGTAACCGTGGATTGGCGCCCCGTCGTTAGAGTCCACTACCCCATTTAATATCGTGGTTGCTTAAGCGGAGATTAAAATAAACGTATAAAAATCTTATGGTATAACTACAGCAGATCTCCATCTAGATCACTTAATCACATACACGTGATGGCTACGGCAAATTTTCTCTTCTGCAGGAGTAACCCGTGTCTAACAGTGGATATGTAACTTAAATATGATTTGTGACAAGCTATATTATAGTGTTCAATGTATAAATAAACTATAAGTGAGAATGAGTCATTTAACTGCTTCAACTTCTTCATTCAACATTCAACTGCTTTCCAATGACGAACATCATATCAAACGTATGTTCCTGTACGAATTATCATCTCTTTTATTATACTTAGGTTTAGTATAACTTATTTATAGTTTCGCTTCGTTTTTGCAGTATTTCCTCTTTATTTCGGTTTAGCTACATTATTTTTAATACAAAGATGAACATAATTCAATTTTTCATGATTTTTCATGCCAGAGTTTAAAAAAACTTATATATCGTTGGTATTAAAAATATTTACAAATTAAATAAATAACATTGTTCCTTGTTAATACATGAAATTAATAATATTTTATGACTTCTAACCGTTACGACATTTGAAAAAACAATTATCCCCTAATCACGTCCATCATTGAGATGTATCCCTCAATGATGCACGTGTCCCTTTACGAATTTCTTAAACTATCTTTGACATGTACGTTCAGATACACTGTTAAGCAAAAACTACTACACAAATTTCCACAGGCTGCAGAAGCATTATTTCAATTATAAAACTCGTTAGGCTAACAGTATTTCAAATGAGCCTTATTGCTGCTGCCTCTAATTTATACACTACTGCTAATCTAGAATAACTTTGTTACCGCAGAAATTATGTTAAAGTGTAAAGAAATTGGTGGGTAGTACCAAAACTGACTGAACTTTTCGGTAGATTCGATAATATATTTTAATTATTCATATTACATTAGTTATGTTTATTACACAGACATCCTATTATTGTATCCACGTAAACAAGATTTTTACGAAGATGAAACTCAAAATAAACTAATAAACTTTTGCAAACTAAATGTATGTTGTATGCAGTGAATTTTATAAAGTGAGATTACCTCTGACCGCAAAACCGTCCCAATGTCGGCATACCAGGAAATAACTGGTTTTGGATAACCAGAGACTTTACAGGCGATGATGAAATTTGTTTTAAAATCCACCAGTGCTTCCTTTGGTTCAATCATGGTTATTCTAGGTTTTTGTTCCTGTGGTCGAAGCACTAAAATAATAAAGTTTTAATTTACATAGTAACAAAGGTGAATCACAAAGCTTAATTATGAGACTATTATTTTGCTATTATAAAAATATTTACTCACTATAAGTTATTATAAAATACGGTATATTTTAACCGACTTCAAAAAAGAGCAGGTTCTCAATTCGAGTGTATGTTTTTTTGTATGTAATGTATGTTACGCGATATCTTTGCAGATTGTGAACCGATTTCAGTAATTATTTTTTTATTAAATAGGTTTTACCTCAACGGTGGTCCCATTAAAATTTGAAAAAAAAAGAAATTCCGCTCCCCAAGGGTGGAAAATAGGGGATTAATGGCTAGTTTACACAGTGCGAGCTAGCGTACGAGTCAACCTGCCGAGTAGCTGCACTGCAGTAACTCGCACTGTTTAGAGGTCATTTACGAGTAACTCGCACGTGCGAGTTGTACAGTAGCGTACATCCGAGTTACTTCAACATTTTTTGTTTTCACTCGAATGCTTAACTTTCAGCAGTTCGTACATGACAGCAGCTCGGCCGTCGCGCGCATCGTTTAGACGCGTTCAGCAGTAGCTAGACAGTGCTTTTTTTGATAACACGCTCACTCGAAATCGCTGCAACTCGCAAGGCAGCACAGAATAAATAATAGTACTATGGTTCATAAAAGATAGCTTGATCTCTGCGACAGCTGTCAGTAAAAATCACGCCTATGAAGTCCTGAATTTCTTAGTAGTACAGACAGTACCTGTCAATGTCATACTTTATGGGCATGCACTAATTATGTGGGCATGCCCATAAAGTATGACATTGACAGGTACTGTCTGTACTACTAAGAAATTCAGGAATTCATAGGCGTGATTTTACTGACAGCTGTCGCAGAGATCAAGCTATCTTTTATGAACTATCCGTACAGAAGTTTCACTCTTTTAATGTTGACTGCTTGCCGACGTTTAATAGCCTACGTAATTATTATTAATTAGATAAATCACACTCGCAAGCTAAATAAAACTTTATCGCTGCGCGAGAGTGTCCGTATTACTTTGCACATTTTCCTCTTCCTACGTTACGGTGGACTTTCCGTTGTTTTGGAGGGATGTCAATAAAGAGTAACAAAATATATTGCGAAATAATAATTAGGTTACTTAGGTGAAATACCTATTCTGACTATGGTCGACAGACCATATTTTCGCACCTACGTGAGTTCTGCGATGCCTAACGCATGCAACTTACCATTTGTCGGGAATCGCGACGCTTGGCTCGGAAGGAAAAGGTAGATTGTGTAAACAACAAATAAACTTGAAATACGATTCCTAACAGAAATGTAATCGTATTCTACTTAGTTAAAAATTTTGGTAGTAAACAAAGTTTTGATTTCAGTGTTTTGTGTTACTTTAGCTTAAAATATTTTAAGCTAAAATAATAGCTTAAATATTTTAATACAAAAGGCAAGTGTATGTACGTAAGTAGATACTTGGATAGTGAAGTAAATTTCTAATAAATTTTGTAATAAAGTTCGTAGATATTAAATAAATTAATACTTAATTCTTTTTTGCTATAAGTACCTAACTAACAATAAAAATTAAATAAATTCACGTTTCATAATTTCCTACTAAAATCCTTTGGTAATAAAGAATGATATATCTGAAATATTTTGTTGGTCATTTAGCGCCAATAATAGTAGAAACGACGTTTTGCCTTATTAAAATTTATTGAATAATGGGTAATACACATAATATATAGTTCTTAAACTCCATTAAAACTTTTGAACTACTTTATCCTATAATTAAATATACTAAACACTAAACAAAAACTATTTCAACAATATTTACAAAAAGTTATATACGTCAATAGCGTTAAAAAACTTTACCTGACTGCGTTATTTCTCCCGGGCGCGTCGCGATTTTAGGTAATTATTTCATGTAGGTAGCAAGAGTGATAGAGGCCTGCTAATAGTGTCGTGTAGATAGCAAAGGCGAGCCGAGCTACTGGTGTTCGAGTAGACAAGTCGAGTAGCTGTCTACTGTCTAGTCAGCAGCTCGCATCGTCTAAACTAGCCATAAGTTTCATATTGGTTTATTGTTTAAGAAATTTCATAATGTCTTCGCAGATAAAGTACTGATTTTAATTATTAACATGATAATTTTTTTATATAAGATAGGGTGACAAACGAGCACACAGTCCACCTACATCTATCCTCGATTACGAATCAAAATGCAGATGCATTGTCATCCGTGAGGACTACGATGGAATGCCTCGTTCTAGTAAAAAGGGTCTCGGGTTTAATTTACTCTTCATACGAAACACAGCAGCATTAAGCTACTATTTTACGCTGGTATTCTGTGAGAGTGTGGTCCATCCCCAGTCGAACCGATCCATTTGTGCTACAACTATACTACTAATATAACTACAGCATGGTTCTACCACGTATAAAATTCATTCAATCTTACAGTCATTAAGAATAAAAATGTATATGCGTTTTCTTCCTTGAGGACTAAGATTGAATTCCTCGTTACACCAGTGAATAAGGTCTCCGGTTCTGTAAGCACACCATGCAAAACATACCAGCAGCATTATACAGCTATTTTATGCCAGTATTTGAGAATGTTGTCCTCCTAGGTCGAGCCAATCTACCCGTGATGCTGACAAAGAAAGAAATCAAATATTTATGATTATTTAAATATGGTTATTAATTACCTTGTGTCTGAGGTACTAATGTTCCCGTTGTTCCTTTTATTACTTGATAAGACGATGAATCACGACCGTATATCTGCAATAAATATACAAATGTAAACTTAATATAATTAATGTTTTTAATTTTGTTAAATTAAGTCGATGTGAACATTAATTATAATTATCAAACCGCATTACAAAGTCTGTGAAAATAATAATAGTCGGTGATATACTATAGTTTTCGTTACATCAACAGTGCTCTAAAACGAATTTGGCGGAGATAATTTTAAGCTACGAAAAGGCTAATTTTTTAATTTTCAAATAAAAGCAAACCATCACATAAATTATAATCTGACTGATAATGAAGCAGTGGAATTATTAATTTCATATAACTGATTTTTTTGTGTTGTATTTTGTTTAAAAAAATTTGAAATTGATTTTGATTGATTAAAAAATTAGCCGTAAGTCCCATGCTTCTTTTTCAATTAGATTTATGCATATAGAGATCGTTTTTCCTTCAAGGTTGTATGTAACTGGTGTACATGTTGTTGGTGTGTAACTATAAGTAAGGTACGTAAGGATAATATGGTCACCTTAAGCTTTGTCACCCTATAAAAAACCAAAACTAGGAGAAGGACAGACACCAAAACACAAAGACGTAAGTATACTATAACTAACATATCAAGAAAGAAAAAATAAACAAGCTTTAGCAATAATTAGGAACACTTCGTAAAATGTACAAAAATGTTAACTATAATCTCAACTGTCAAAATGGTGTTGATAAAGTATCACCCCTTTGACCCTTTATTATTTTATTGAACCATAAAGAGCTAAGACTAACGTATCTCAAAAACATCTATGCAAATAAGGTTGTAGTTTTTAAGTTACAACAAAGTGACCATATTAACCGGATGACCATATTACCCTCACGTACTATACTATTATTTTAAGGAATTTAACGGTTTAATTATGGCAATTAATTAAGCGCTTTTTCCTTTTCCTGTTTGAATTTACATATATAGGTAGGTACATAAATGATACATGGACAATCCAGACCCGATATAATTATTATCAGGCCATACACTTGTTACTTACGGGATTTGAAGCCGTGACCTGTTTCGCAGCAGCCAAACACCTAGCTATTGCGAGTCATCAAAAATTTGGGAGGTTTAATCAGATAGTAAATTAGTAAAATAGATTACGTTAATGTGTGTCAACGAGCTTTTAGTACACTCCTACCGTAATTCTAAACGCTTTTCCAGGTTCGAAGTATTCTTTCGCGGCGTATAAACCTTTACTTTGGTCAACAATTTCAACATTAATAGCTTTCACATCTCTGCCATCAAATTTGATATGAATAGAATTTAGTTCTATCGATATTTCCGCTACTGCGACGCATATGTAACTCGAAGAACCTGAGGGGAAAAATTTGTTATATTGCCGATCTCGATATCATATCTCAAAGTAACGTTGGAGTGTAGATAAGTTAATCAAAGAGCTTTTGTTTCTTTTTTTATAGAATATGGTGACAAACGAGCACACAATCCACCTGATGGTAAGTGGTTGCTGCGGCTCATAGACATCTACAGGTATCCTCGATTACAAAACAAAATGCAAATGCGTTGTCATCCGTGAGTACTAAGATGGAATGCCTCATTCCAGTAAAAAAGTGTCTCCGGTTCTCTTGTTCTTTTGTTTCAAAGCATAGTAAATAAATTAAGGGTTAAAGTTGGTATGTTGGTATATCGTACTCATTAACTCGCATCCGTTTCAGATTATCTCGTATAGGGCATAGTTTCCACGCTTGGCAGAAAGGTTGGCAACCGCAGTTTTTTATTATTTCGAGCTGGTATCAGGCTGCTGTCTGTCTTCTGTTTCATTTCCTTATGTCTTTACATTTATGTCTTATTACACACGCATGGGATAAAATGGGGTAGTGGATTCTCTCATACCACTACACGCCGATCAATACTACTACAGTAGTATACCGTACGTAAAGCGCAACATAGAGCACCGGCAGACTGGAGGGAGTAGCCACAGCCGGTTTTTGCCGATATAGAGCTGTCTGTCATTTATGTGAGGGGAAATCTGTGCACACAAGTATGATGTTCTGTCATTACGAAACTCATACATATGAATTAAAAAAATAAAATAACTATTTCACGCAGATATTGATACATTATAACAGTGTCGCCCAGTGACAGAGACAACTCAGATACAGATTCAGATAAGTCGCTCGAATGATCCGTATTCGTACGAGGCCAAGCGGCTTGTGTTGGGAAACAAATCCGAAAAAACGTGATCGTTTTTTTGTAAGTTTGAAGTTAAAAAGAAGTAAATAGCAATAGTATGATTCAAAATTACTTAAATATGAAAGATAACGTCATCTTTTTGTAAATTTGACGTGGCAAATCTCTTTTGTAGCAACTGTGCAATTCAACATTTTATAGGACGTCGATTCAGCCGCGGAAGTAGATTTAGTCTTGTGAGCAGAGTTTCAACTAGTTTTATTGCATGCGTAGGACCGCGTAGACTTATACTTTGACAAAGGGGAACACCTGCGTATGGCTAGTACCCTCCGTTGCGCAGGAGGCACATGTTGCTCTATGATCGTATGTAATAAATTTAAATAATTTATAATGAAGTAATTTAGAATAAATTTGAATTTAACAAGTCAGTCAATGAGATAACGAATGAACTTTTGATATTGTATTGAGTAGAGATTACTAATACTTTTAGGACAAACTCTTGTAAAGTATTGAACTTGAAAAGATACTTTTATTAATATAGTTTACCTGGTATCGGTAGGCGACTGGTTTCTTTCATGCTTCTAGGGAGTTTAGGTGAAAAGCCGAATTGGAACTTCAATTCTCTTCTTCTATAAAACGTTGTTATTGTTGGTCCTTGGGACAGGATGTTCGCCTTATACTCTCCAATATCTGGCCTAACGATGCGGACTACCTATAATATCAAATAAATTTATAAACAACGAGCTAGCTCGACAGACGTTGTTCCTCCTTTGCAATAGATGATTGAATTTTACTCCAACTTTTTACAATGGAAAAAGACGCCTCAATAAAAATATAGTGATGTGCTATAATGGTGTTTTTATTGTTACGTCAAATTCGTAATGTATGCAGAATACACATTGGTTATTTTAGTCAGATTTTTTCTAGATGTATTTAGCGATATAATAAATAAAAAAGAGATGTGCATTATTTAAATACTAAGAACATGACTCCAAAGAGTCAGTAATTTCTTCATTCCTTCCTTCTGTATACGCTTTCACAACAAAGCCAAAATATGCAGGCCTCTTATGTTTCAAAAGGCTTAAAATTTTTACTATGCATATATTTTCAGTAAGGTCTATTATACTACTAAATAGTACATGATTGATAATAACCGCTGAAGGTAATCGCTACCATGCTGTTTCTAAATGTTTTCATACTAGTTGTATAAATATTATACTGTAAATTATTTTCCCGCTGGGTTTCGTGCTGGACCTTCCCTGGACTGAGGATATTTTTCGAATCAGTGGTAAAACTTAAATGACTTTCAATATGTGTTCTTCTAATCTATATTGAATAAATATCATTCTGTTACCTGCTAAAACTAAAATGAATAAATAAAAAAAAGTATTTTATTCCATGCCATACAAGTTTCACAATACAATTTCTTACGATATAATTTGAAATTTTTAAGCTTAATTAAAATATAAATTAAGATTAAAATACATTAATTTATTTATGTATTTATATCTTAATATGTATAAATTACGTGTCACGTTGTTTGTCCGCGATGGCCTCCTAAACTACTTAACCGATTTTAATCAAATTTGCACACCGTGTGCAGTTTGGTCCAACTTGAGAGATAGGATAGTTTTTTTGCCCATAAGTGACCCATAATTTTTTTTTGCAAAATTACGGATTTTTATAGGACATAAAGGGTCATCTAAAAGGGCAGAACAACGTCTGCATGGCAAGCTAGTATTAATATATAATACTTCGGTACGTGTGTCTGTCACTGAACTACTTATAAACGATTGGACCAATTTTGATGAATTTCTTTGTTTTATAACCAAGATGATTTAGATATACAATCGGATCAGACAGGTGGCGTTTTTGTCGAGATCCAAAAATCGCTAGTATTTTATATATTAGTTTTTCTGGCAATACGGCCCGTTCAGAGCGGTGATTTGCAATTCCGTTGGTTTGTAATTTATTGTTTTAAAAATGTACGTGCCTACATAACATTATATTGTTTTTAAGCAGCCATCGATTAGATAATTGTATTATTATTGTTGTTAAATATCTTGACGCATGCAGAAATCACTCGTGGGAAGTCATGGCCGATTGTTTGTATAGTAATAAGTACATCTCTATTCTATAGAATAATATAAAAGATATTGTAGTAATATATAAGAGATAATGTTGGAATATGGTTATGGGGTAAAAGAAAAGCTGTGTGTACTGTACGTAATTCTGTATTAGCATGCCAACACAAAGTTTATCATTTAACAAATAAATAATTAATAGACTTGTTTTGACTACATCCGTTATTAAAGAGACTTTATGTTGACTAGTATTTTTGTATATGCCAACAGTCTCCCTCAAAAATACTAGTATATTTTATAAACAATGCAATTCGTTTAATATTAAAACATCTCTGGCTATAAAACATGATTATTTTCATCACTAAACAATTTATATCCATTTGGGTTATATACCCTACTAATATGGATTTAAAGCATTTTTCATCAAATTTACCTTTCATTGTTTTGTCGTGCACGTAAGCGGTAGAGCCAAATATTTTTAAATTATTAATTTTTGGCCTTTTACCATGCCACATCTCATATAGTAGTTTTATTAATAAGCACTTTTGTGGGTAATATATTAATTAAATATTTCTATGTTAAAACACCTTCACCCCAAAATATCTTGTCTAAATTCGCACTTAAAACCAAGTCAATGAATCTGTTGCAGTCACTTTGGAACCTGAAACATCACAACCAAAACAAAAACGTAAAAAATATGACACTCCCTTATTTCAGCGAAAAATAGATACCAAAAAGAAGTTAGAACATAATGTTAAAACGGGGTGTAACGAAACCTGCCTAAAAAATGTACTTCTAAATTTAGTCAAGACCAGTGAGAACCAATCAATAAAATGTATTGGGACTTGTCTTGGCGAGAAAAGCATTTATTCGTGAATGCACACACTTCAGTAACAATTCCAATGAGAAAAACGACCAGTGACCCGAAGAGTAAACCAAGAAGGGCATTTACATTTAAACAACTAAACGACACCAGAGTTGAGGTATGCAAAACCTGTTTTTTGGACTACCTTTTTTTCAGGTTATGTTAAAACAAACGACAGGATCTTGCATAGCGGTTTTATAGATCCCCAATTTACTGATAAAAGAGAAAAGCACCAGAAAACACTAGCTTACGATCGTAATTTGTTGACACAGCACGTTGAATTGTTTCACCCATCAGAACCCCACCACATGCTCTACTATTATTAGTACCACATTATTATAGTGATATTAGTGTAACTAACAGACATTTCTGTAAAAAATATCCAGATAAGATCGTTTCGTATGAACTATATAGACAACACGTTAAAAAAATGAATATTTCTTTTACTCGCTTGGGTAATGAAGAGTGCGAAATGTGTGAACCCTATACTTTGCATAGAAAAAAAAAACATCACATGATGCCGGTAACCAGGTTGTCTTAGTCTGTACTGTATGTGTGGAGTGGGCCCAGCATCATCAAAAATATAAAAAGCCAGGGAGCTTTACAATGAGCACAAAAACTTACCACAAAATGATTCCCAAATATATTATTACAGCGCAGACCCAGAAAAAGTTATTATGTTGCCCAGATCAGATATCTTTAAAGCCGCAATTTTTTGCCAACGCCTTACGGCATTCAATCAGGAATCACTAGGCAAAATCAGTTCCAGTATGACATGATGGTATTACAGGGAGAAAACAAGAGGACGTCATGACGGCCTTCTACCATTTTCTTTTATGTAACCGAGACGTTACTAATGTGAATATATGGCTAGATAACTGCAGTGCTCAAAATAAAAATTGGTTATTATATTCGTTATTTGTCCATTTAGTCAACTGTGAAATCATTTCCACCGAACATATAACACTGCATTATTTTGAACCAGGGAACACGTTTATGAGTGCTGATCAAATGCACCATCAAGTCAAGATTTTACGGACTTTGAAGAAGCAGTAGTTTCAATTAATAAATCAAAAGTCATTGTGAAATCTCGATTCCCTTTCCTTGATATACCAAATTTTATGTCCGACAGAAGAGTTCAAAACTCGTATCCAAGAGCTTACTTAAAAAACATGTGTCAAGTATGTTTTACACGTAATAATTATGACCTAGTGTACAAGAACGATTTTGATGACGAATATAAAACACTGAGATTTATGGATACAAGTAAAGGAACCCAATCTTAAAAGTGGAATTCCGCTCGAAGACAAAAGGAATAGATTCTACAAGAAAAAATGTCATTATTGAAAAACTATCCAGCATAATTCCATCCATAAACAGATATTTTGAAAAAACTTGCCAGTAAAGGACCATGAGGAGGCATAGTGGCATGTTCATGGTCTTTTGATGTTTTTGTAATAAGACAAATCTTGATGCTCGTAAGACTGAAACAATAACTTGTAAAACTGCATAAAAGTAACAAGTATCTCACTTAGTACTACGTTAGTTGCTTAATAAATGATTACATTGTTACTTTTATGTACCTGCAATAAAGTATATTCTATTTCTTATAAAAAATCAATAGTTACAATTAAAAGTAAAAATAAGAATTTTATGTTACTCACTCTAACTCAGCTATAACCGACGATTTATATACGTTTTATAATAATTATGATGAAGGTTTTTAGTATTTTAGTTATTTGTAATAAGATCACATATGCAATAAGAAGTACCTAGTAAGTCATCACAAAGTGATTTTATAAAAAAATATATTTTTAATTGACAGAGAGCAGGAAGATTCTATTTGCTCAAGTATTTTATTACGTACCAAAACGTAAATACAATTGTATGAAATTTAATTACTGTCTCTCATTTATTTCTAAGATTTCAAAATTTGCTTTAAAAAGATATTTTTGAAATATTTTTTAGTTGTTACATAACATAACATTATATACAAGGTCAAGATTGTTTTTATGATTTTTTTAGTTATTTGCTAACATTACATTTTCAATTATTGTAAGTTAGTCCTCACAAAGTGATTTTGTTAGGATTAAAAAAGACTGTCATTAAATGATTGATTTATATTTTATAATAAGCTCTTTTATTTCCGTAGGTAACTACCACTTCATTTGATTTCCTCAACTATCGTGTTTCAGTTTCAAAACTAAAACGCAGTTACATTTTAATGTTTTGTATTTCTAGCCCCTCTGAGAAAAAATTATACGATATTACTGTGAAAGCTTGATAGCTACAGAATTTTGTGGTTGTGGTGGGAGCAATGGCAACCTGACTTTATAGATATCTGATCCGATGGAATCTGTACTAAAATTAAATCAGCACACCCCGAATCCACGTAGTCTTGTCTGCCCTACTCCTAAAGTGTTTTTGTAAAGCCGTAGGCGAGAAGGTAGAGCAGCCCCCGCCCGTAGTAGCAAATCGCAGGCACCTGTGTGAGCCGTAGTGTGCTTATTGTATTATAATATATTACCTTTATGTGTTTTAAAGTAATTATAAAAGCTAATATTTCGGTGTTTTGTTGAGTGCAAGAGCGAGCGAAGCGAGCTTGGGACTTAGAGCACCTCGATTTTGACAGGTTAGCTTAGAAGGGGATGACAGGGTAGAGTGAGCGAACGAAGCGAACGAAAAGACCCCGCCATTCCCTTCGCGGTTATTTTTTTGTAAACCACTCAGAAGTAGGAGCCCCGCTAAGCGAGGCACCGTCGG